CAGGCTATAGAAGTTAATATGACGTATTTCACTCGCAATTCGACCAGTCATTCATCGATTCTGAACGTACTGTCCACCGGTTATTATACGGTTAGTATTAGCATATGATTTAATTTCCCGCGTTTTATACATAAATTTTGCAAATAAAAGTGGTACTTAATCGAATCACGTGTACTATACATCCGTATTTTGCTCAGGATATTTTATGTGAATATGAATGCGGAATTCTGCTCAGCCACTGCCAGCCTGGCAGCTGCAGTTCTTTTAAGTTTCTGACTGTGTGTGACGCCGCAAACACGAGATGATTTCTGCAGCTTTCTTCTCTTAGCTTGTTCTTCAGCTTCCAAAAATCGGCTAATTTTATAAACTCAAGCTGCAAGCTGGAAATTTTTAGATTTTTGATTTTCCACGTAATTTCCGAAATCGACTCCCAGGTTCCTGATTATGATTGCACGTCCAGGGCAGACTGGTTTTTTTTAAGTCCAGTACAGAGCATGCCATGGATCTAAAGTTTTATTGCTTTCCATGCTTTGTCTTCTAAAAACCGAATATGCCAAGGTCCTGTTTACATTGTCTCAGTAACCAACTGATATTTGCAATGACTTATAGCGAAAAAAGCATAACTACGCTCGTCTTAACTGCGCACCGATATTTCTTACGCTTTTGCAATTTTGCAAAAAAAGCTAAAAATTGTGGTTTTTATCGGATTATATTTGAGAGTCGTTCCCCCAAGATAAATTTTTTGCACCTCTAAAATAAGCAGTGCTATGTGCAACAGAGCATTGTCTGGTTCTCCACTCGCTTTTCACGGCTAAATTGAGAGGCACGAGAGATCTTCTTTGTGAATATTATACACCGTAGCACTAGAGACGTGTGATTGGGAACAGAGGGAGCGAAACGAAGTGTTTTTACACTACAGTATTCTGCTTGCATCAATAACAGCGTACAGGGCTGATTATAGGGCTTTTGAATGTTGCAGTTTGCATTCAACAGTTCGTCACTAGGCTTTTGCGAGTCTGCGGGGCGGAATAACTCAGGCTTGGTGACCTGTGTGGATACGAGCATCTATCTCGATTCACCGCTGCCTATCGCTGTGCTTGCTAACAACTATGTGCCTGGTGCTGGCGACAGTTTCCTTGGTTTGTATTTTTAAATCTTTGGTGAAGCAAAGTAGCAATATTAGGGATTATGAGGATTGTGTTTCAACCAGTTGTCCATCAACAATGAACGTCTTTTCTCACTAAACTGGGAGACAGCTGTGGCTCTGAGGGACTGGAGTGCTTGCAGCAACAAACTACCAGAACAGATAGAATTAACGTGAAAGTGATGGCAGTGAGCACATTTGGTTAACCAATGGGTTTTTGCTACAGCATTTTAAGTGTGTCGGTGAATCGAAAGAACATTGTATGAGAGGTGCAAAGGCGAATATCACAGCAGGCAGTTTATTGACTTGTGCAGCCACGAGTGGATGGAAGAGCGAATCACAAGAATCACTTGAAGTAGTGCACACTATGTTGCGAAATTGATCTAATAAAAATAATCGGCCAGCACACCGACTGCCCGTGCGAAGATGTGTTTTTTGCACAATTCCTTGCAGGTTTTTGTAGCTAGCGGCGCTGTTTTCCCGATAGATACTTCTAGCCAAAAGAATTAAGACTGGCCACTACGACTGTGAGAAAACATTTCAGCTTTCTAGCTTTCTGGTTCCCGAATTAGCAACTTACCCGCCAAAAATTTTCACGAATCGGCACTTGAGAATCAAGCACTTGAAAATTGTGCTTGGACAAGGAACATCGCTTTAAAATTCCAGCTTTCTAATTATTCTATTTTCCGAGTTAGCAGCTTACCCGCAATAAAATTCCACGAGTCCGTACGCAGAAACCAGGCACACCTGGGGGCTGGGTTTTTATTAAGACCTGTCTGGACAGGGGAGATCCCCTTAAATTTTCAACTTTCTGGCTTTCTGGTTTCCAGCTTAACAACTTAAGCGCTAAAAATGCATGAGAACCACGCACACCCGGGAGTTGAATTTGAACTCATTAAGTTCGACATCCTCTTAAAATTTCAGCCTTCTAGCTTCTGTGGTTTCCGAGTTAGCAGCTTACTCGCCAAAAACTTTCATACCCCCGTATGGGAAACCATGTGGGCAAGGGCGCCCATTTTGGGGATGGGAGCGTGTACACGCGCACAGATTAACTTCCCAAAGTTTTGGCGTTGTAGGTTTTGTAAGCCTCGAAATGAAAAATCGGTACAAACACACACAGACACACATGCACACAGAGAACCCCTCAACAATATTTTTGCATTGCATAGATACAAAAAACATAAAAAAAAAAAATGCTGAACTGGCTGAGCTTGATGAAGACGCGGTGATGAGACAAACATACCACGAATCAGTGGATCGCTACCACGTTATACTGGATATTCCTGTAATTTTTAACTTGGGCTATTTCTTCGAAAGACGTCACAATATGTGTTTTTAAATTACGGCTAGACTCCGTCTACTTTCCTCATCGCAGATGATATTAATGATAACTCTCGACAGAAAAGCGAGAGCGAAAAACTGGCGTTTTCATTCCTTAGCAGAGATAATGCGAGGTCAAAAAATCGCTTTTACAATTCAGTGCACTTGAAAGTCATATTTTGCGGCTAAATATATTTGTATGGGGATGGTGGGTTATTGTTCTGCACTCGCTACAGCATGCAAAAGAAAATTTGGCACACATATAGTAAAGCAGAGTAATTTGGAGCAGCTCCGAATTTATGCGATCAGCACATATTTGCATCTTTAGTGTAGCAGAAGTGTGCAGTAACTTGTCTCATGCATTAAAAGTAAGTGAAATAAACAGGGATACAGCATAGCATTATCCGATCAGATTAGTTTGTGGCTTCACTAAGAGTGCTCGCTATCCCTCAGCTTATTTATCGGTCCGGACGCAGCACCAACACAGTAATTCTTTTTCATTTTCTTATGAGTCTCTAAGAAATCTGTGCATAATAATTATTTACAGTAATGCCGCTGGCAATGGCTGGTGATACATACGCATTCTCAGCCCCTCCGCCTGCAGTTGGTGGAATGACTACTGCATATTTCATACCTGTTGGCTCCGAATTGGTGAAAATCAAATTGACTGGTACTATAGGCGGAGACTCTTATCAAAAAACGTTCACGACCCAGGTGAGTGCAGCAAAGCATTTTATGCATTTCTACATATTTAGGCAAATGCAAAAACGCACACTGTCAAGAAGTTGTGGGTGTGTGAGTGTGCTTGCTTGTCTGTGAATGTTATGTTTGTGTGTGTTCGTAAATTTTTCCATTCACTTTCAACTTCGCAACCAGGCAGGCTAGAAAGCTGAAATTCTATGAGCAAGTTCCGTCTCCGCGTGCGATCTAATTAAATTGAAAACAGTTTCCGCTACGCGCCTTGATCTCGCATGCAGCGCTTGTAAGAAGATGAGAAAAAGCTTTCGAGAACCGAAAAACCTTGTTCTTGTGTGTGCTGAGGTTTCAAATTCAGCTATCACATGTTGCTTATAGCGCATGTACGACCACGTCAGTTCTCGTCGTTGGTACGACGACCTCTTGAGGTTCAGTCTAAAAACGCTACACTTTCACGAGATTATTTCCTGTCCATGCGCGAACTTCTACGCGCAAACGACGTTTTGGATAACACTTGCATCACGCGTAAAGACGTGTCAAAGATATTTGTAGCGAACTAATCCATGGCATTTAACAGCAAATACTTCTACACGCTCAAGTCGATAATCGATAGGATTTGACAGCAACAAAGCTACACCGTCGACAAGGTTGTTGGAAAGAGCAGCTCGGGCTGACGCCGTCGAAAAGAAATAAACAGCGAGATAACAGCACAGCTGCATCGCCGCTATTGAGTAATCCCGGAGAACGCGGCGAAAGTCACAGCCCTTGATCAGCAGATGTTGAACTTCAAAGGCAACAGTAAATCCAGTTCTTCCTCAAAGTGTGTTGGTGAGGAGTGCAACAAGAAACTGCCGGCGTCGATGGAGGGATGTTGAATCGTCAAAATGGCTGGGGATCGCTCGCCCCAAACGAAACTTCACGCTCATTTTACAGGCTCTGCTGCTCACGAAAGCGTGACAGCATCTTTTTTTTTTTAGTAACTTAAAGCAGTTCTCCGCTTAAATGTGAGATATCCAACTTTACAGCTCGTATCGAAAGTGAATTAGCAATGCCGCGTGTTGGAAAGTCAACTGCCAACTGCTTACCTTTTTGAGTAAGCCTTAGAAAACGTGGCCATCGACCACCTTGACAATTACGTATTGGCATGAGATGCTACTGCAGTTAATGCCTCCTTTTCTCATAAAGTTTAAATTGGATTTCACCTTTGTGTTTTCAAATTCAGCTTCGAGCTTTCACTGCATGTTTGATCATGACTAACAGCATTTTTTCAAACAGTCACAAATATTATTCTTCCGAAAGATCTTGCAATGCTTGTTTAAGCGTGGTGCCGGCCAGTTAATGGCTTTACAAGCATCCGTTCAACTAGCATTATCGGCAACAGCCAATGCTTCTTTCGTGGTTTTTGTTTCTGTTCAGAAGCTACCAACTTCATCAATCGGACCCAAAATCGACATGGGATCGTACATGCCAACTCCGCTCCTCGACACCAGTTTGTCCTACTTCTGGTTCTTCACAAACATTTATTCGATGAGAGAAACGAACTCCAGTAGGGACCTACTAATTCAGAACACTAAATTCTATAAGGTCAAATTCACTTCTTGCTGCAGTTTCAAACCATTATGAGTAACTTTTAGTTGTCTGTTCAAAATTTTGTGCCAAAACGCCATTTATATTGTTTATGCATATTCCAAGCTAGGACACTAATAAGCTAGGACACTAAGCTTGGCCTGTCTGAGCCATTTTTCCGAAATATAATGGTGGTAACGGTAACCATTTAATAAATTTTCATAGACTACGCCAAATGACCAATAGCTATTCTTTAGCTTGCAAATAGGTTGTTTTAAGAAATTATCATTTAACGGTCATTTAAAAGTAGTCAGACTGGCAGCTTATTAAGGCGTCAGCAACTAGCATTTATCTTTGTACTGTATTAAATTGCAGAATGTAGAGGCGTTATGGACTACCACGTTTCGATGTTGCTCGAAACAGAGAAGTACGTCGTAACGCAGGCTTCCACGTGTGTTGGGTGGTTCTCTGTATACGGAGAAAGTGGTTACGAGAAACTGTACATAAGTCCACCTCAGTCCAAAAATGTGCTGCTGCATAAACTTATTTTTGGTCTCAATGCTGGCGTAAATTCGAGGTGTGTTTCCTTTTCCATCCTCTGCAGTAAATAATAGCCAAGCTTTCATGGTCTTTGCCGTGGGCATTTCGCAGCTGAAAGATGCCATATACTTAAGCCTCAGTTGCAGAAGTCTTTTCTGATCAGAGCTTCACGTTTCCAATTCATTTCCGCATTAACATTACGCATATGAGACAGAGGAGCTTGCTTGGTCAGTAATGTTAGAGATTGGTTCGAATTCTTAGTTATCCAGCCAGACTGGAAAAGTTTTACGGATATCAATGGTTAGCAGACAAATCACATATGGTTTCTCGATGACCTGGTTCTTATCCCGATCTCGAATGATATTAGCAAAGTGAACTGGGTGCTGCATATCTCCAAATCGATAATGCTGAAAATCAATGCATCGGAAACGAACATGAGCAAAAACAGGAAATGCTGTCGAACAGATTGTAGATATTAAAAGAAGTTGACATAGCTACGCCTGTTTCAGTCAGTAAATATGCACAACTATTTTTAGACGGAAAGTGCACTTGGAGGGTTGGCACATGTTTTATAGTATATGCCATGCCCGCAAAATGTCGAGCCAAATCGGCTTTCAGACACATTATTTATATCGCTTTGCTGAAAACAGTGACGTGCGGGAGCAGACGTATCAACTTGCGAAAGCAGGGTAGTGAACCGCGAATCTGATAGAGTGGGCAGTGCAGTTAAAGCTGCTTGAAGTGCTCGTAACCATTAGATGAGCAATGTACAACATAGTGACCACAGGAGACAGTTAAATAAGATGCACAGAGAATCTTGCTCACCTTGCTGACTATACGTGAATGGGGCACATTAACGAAGTAAACCGTCACTCGGAAGAAACGACGCGCATACATCGAGCAGTCGGTAATGTATAAGTGATGTCCAGGAACGAAGGGTATAACACTGCAGCGCGACACTAACGTGCTATCCTCCCACACAGACTGTTAGAATGATATCTTAGTACTGATTATTAAAGGAACATTTCATTGTCAAATTTTAGATACTGTATGTTCCTAGTAGGTTACCGTCAGCCCGAATGCTTTGCTTGCCAGTAGATCTCTGTAGTTCAAAAGAAAAAAATTCGTGAATGTGGGTGAAACAATTAAAATAATTGTGGTGTTCGAAATTTTCGAACTAAGCTGTGTTGCTTTTTAATTTCTGCTGTTTCTTTTGATTATTGGTAGTGCTTTCCTAGAAAGAAGAACTAGATTGAGCAATGATCTTTTATCCGTAAGGCATTCCTAATCGTTCCGATTGCAGTTCCTCAATGCTGCAAGTGTTGAAATATGGCGGTAACGGAGTACCAGAAATGATGCACACCTCATTCCTGGACCTGGCTGTATCCTGGTCACAGTTTGTTACGGGATCAGCAGTCTTCTATGTTCCTTCGGACAACAACATCATCACGGTATCATGCTGGATTTTCTTTTAGTGTATACCTGAAGTTCCCAATACAAAATAGTTGGAGGTCTTGGGTCTCGGCAAGAGAACGGGTAGGCAAGTGGATTGTGTCAGTGAGTTGTAACGAGTCATATTTGGAGCGATTCTTCACTTGTTTGCCCTCCCCCCCTCCCCCTCGTCTCTCCCCCCTTTCTCGAAAAATACTTGCCAAAAGAGGTATATTCGCCCAGCTCTTATGATTTTTTCTCTGCGATATTCTGCACTTCTTCCAGTATTCGCATTCGTAGCTATTTCGGATATGTATGATTAAATACGCATTTTCATCGTAGTGATGTGACTTTGAGTTATTCAACAGCACAAATTTGAGAAGGAAAAAGTCCAGTATTATAGACTGTCTGTCGCTACTTGCAGACTCTAAAAGGCTAGGCGAATGTCGATTTACCCATCAAAAGCACGTCGTTGAAAGAAAGATTTCAGGTGATAGCGGATGCAGAGGCAGCTGAGACAATGTTGTTTGATATTTGGTACTATGTGTGGACCTGGGTACCAATACCATACTATGAAGAGTCATTTTTCTATGCGGTTGCTACCACCAGCAAAGGTTTACATGTGCTCAGTGCGGATGGTTTCTTCACAGTGTTCGTCAGTGGCATTCACGATGGCGCTGGATACGGATTCATTGGGGCATACAATGGTAGGCAAATTGATCATTCTTCTTAGAAAAGCATGCTTGTCAGGGTGAAGCGGGCCTGGCAAGCGTGCTTTTTTAAGATTGATCACCACCATCAGCACGATTTTTGACTCAGCTAAAACACTTTCAAGCAAAATTCCTTCAGTTTGCTTGTTACTGAAAAAGGCAGCGCAGCGTGTCTCATCTTAATCGGTCCATTGTTTAGGCTCGGATAGACAGTTTGTCCTGTAGAAATACATCATATATCATCGAGTCGGTTGCCATTAGCAAACCGGTGGCACTTCGCAAGGGCTGTTTCTGTAACGTCATTGTTGCGTTAAGCTCTATGCAGCAAGCTTTTCTGTAATTATTCAGTTTCATATGCTATAATTTATTCCTCGCGACAGGTTGTAAACCCATTACGCAGTTGCTAAAGAATATGAATTAGAAAAGTGTCAGAAACTAACGCTGGCAAAAGACATACCTCTTATGACATGAGCAGCAAAATACAGAAACTCCTTCAGTCAGTTTTAGCAAGAATTGCCCGATTTGAATTATTGGTACCAATTTGTTCGGAGCTATAAACTAAAAAATACGATCAATTTATAATGAGCTGGAACAAAAAACAGGAACTGTTTATGGCTCAGTAGTTTTTTAAGCTATAAAATTTTAAAATTCAGAAAAATTGTTAGTTTTCAGATCAGACGTCGAAAGCTTTGCCAGAAAAAAAACCATCGACCTCTGTTACTCATTTGTCAACGACCACCCCTGCTTTAATCACGACAACCACATCTTTACCACTTACGACACGTATGTAAATTTTTATTGACAAATAAATGGTCACTTCCTGGTTTTCCTGACCCCCATTACTTCTTCTTTTAATGTTAAATGAAACTGAACCCGGTAGCTAGAATTTGCAGCATACAGGTTCTCGAAGTTCATGAAGTTAATGGTGCAACTACATGGCACTTGGTCATGGAAAATTTCCTCAAAATTTCAGCTTTCTAGCTGCAATACCGACAGAGAAGCACGCACACACATACACACACACAAGACTGGAACGCACCGTATGGGTCCGTGCAATAAGTTTTTGAGCCGAACTTGAAGTACTCAGGTTATTAACTGCATTACTAGGCACACTTCAAGTCTGAATTTAAAATACTTAAGTTGTACTTGGACAAGGAACATTCCTCCAAATTTTTAGCCTTACAGCTTCTCTGATTATTGAGTCAGCAATTTTCCTGTCAAGATTTTCACATGCCCGTAAATGGATACTTAACGTGCCTGGGAAGCTAAATTTGAAGTTTTTAAATTGCACATGGATAGGGAACATCCCTCTAAACTTTTAGCCTTCCAGCTTTTCTGGTTGCTGAGTTAACAATTCTCTCGCCAAATCTTTCACGTGCTCGCACGTAGAACCATGCACACCTAAGGGCTGGATATGAAATACTTAATTTGTATTTGGACAAGGAATAGTCTCCTAAAATTTCAGCTTTCTAGTTTTGGTGGTTCCCGAGTTAGCAATTTTCTCGCCAAAATTTTCATGCATCCTTACTTGAGTGTGACGCATACCTGTGGCCTGAATTTGGAATCTTTAGCTAACACGTGCGCAGGGAATATCTCTACAAAGTTTCAACCCCTTATCCTTTCTGGTTCCCTAGGTCGCTTTCCCGCCAAAAAATTTGCATATTTTTTTAAAGCGTCCGTACGTGGCACTTAGGCGTCCGCGGCGAATAATATTAGAATGGGAGGGTCGCGCATAGTATGAGGCTGAAACTTTGGGAGTTTCAGCCTTCTAGCTTTTCTGGTTCTCGTGTTGAAAGTGGGTAACAAAAAGTGCGAACACATAGACACACACAGGACAGCCTCTTCCCAATATACGTTTTTGCAGTTTGCATATATGCAAAAACACATAAAAACACGCACTCACACAAACACGCCGGGATCGTCACAGTACGCGCTTTTTCATTTGCATATGTGCAAAAAATTTGACACCGCTATTAAATTTAGTGGAAAAAGATAGCCAAATTAATTAGTCAAGTTTTTATTCTGGTTAAAAAACGCTGATATTGTTTCTCAAATTTAATTTGTTGTATGCATCTTACAGATCCTTGGACCGAACCAACCACAACATACTCTTCTCCTATCACTCCATCACCTGAAACCCTACCATCGATCACTACTGCCCCATTGTTAACGACCAGTCCTGCTTACATTAAAACAACAACCACGTCTTCATCACTTACAACACGTATGTGAATTTTTATGCTTTTTTTGCAGCTATGCAATACAGAAAAAGCATATTGACGAGAGGTTGTCTGTGTGTGTCTGTGTGTGCGCTGGGCGTTTGTGCCGATTTTTCATTTCGAGACCAGCAAAAGTTACAGGGCTGAAACTTTGGGAATTTTGCATATACAGGCTCCCATCCGCAAAATGAGCTATCTTACCCGTGTGGTACCCACTTACAGGCCCGTGAAAGTTTTTTGCGGGTATATGCGTTTTCTGCATTACATAGCTGATTTTTCTCATTCCCATCTCTCCCTCTTTTAATCTTATACAATTTGAAAAAGGATGTCTGTTATTAAAATTTAGTGAACACAGAATAGCTAAGTTAAGTTCAGTGTGGGGACAAGTTTTTATTCGGGTTAAAAACCGCTACTGCAATTTCTTAAATTTACATCGCTGCTTGCATCTTACAAATCTTTGGAACGAATCAACGGAAACATACTTTTCTT